ATACACTAACAACAAGTAGCGAAATTCTTCATTCACTGAAGACAGTGGTACCTACACAGTAGCGCCAAATCACACAATCAATAAACATCTCAAAAGCGTTGGATAGATGAGGGATGAGCTCGGATAAACAACAGTAGTGGGGGGTGGGACACGCCTACCGGTAAATGCTCACTCACGGGGACTATTATTATTACACGATAATCTACATATACAATAAGTAACAATAAGGTGAATTTATGAACAATATTACAACTACTAGATAAAAGACACTGAAAATGTTGATGAAAATAGCAATCTAAAGAAAACAATGTTAATAATGAGAATAATTCAACAATATATAACACATAATGAGGAAGAGGCGTCATGATTTCTCTTGAAAAATTTCTGGGGAATGAGCGATAAGAGGAAAGAGGTGCGAGTTCAGGACTGTTGAAAGATTCAGCTAGAGGAGATAACAGGGAATAAAAGTATATTTGAATTATGAAATGACACTGTTTATTTTATCATGTTGCCCAAACTATCGTTAAGGAACAGATCACAGATAAATCAATAGCTCTGATCGATTGATGATTCAAGAGATACAGGATGCAAGTCGGTACACTATTTCGAACAATTTGTGCATAGGGAATTCATTCGTAGACGAAACTTGAGGAAATGCTGAGTGGACAAGACGAAATTCAGCTATTTTTTTCAAGCGCATTACACGCTGATCGTATGGGCGGAGTTTCTTGACATTTGCAGTCTCCTTATTGGTGCCCTGCCTTTTGAAGAAGGACCCATCAATGAGGAGAACCCACGTGACCAGACGACTCCACCCACTCGAGGGAAAGTAGTTCAAGAGACGAAAAGCAAGAAAAAATCGGGCACTGCTTCACATTTTCTCAAAAGGACTAGGGACTTCCCAGATGAGAAACTAGGTTGAAAGGTGATATTTCCAAAGAGAAATCAGCGTAGGCACAAATCACAGCGAGCTGCTTGGGGGCCAAATATTAATCGATATTCGGAAGATCCCCAAAAGCACACGCAGTCAGTGAGCTCAAGATCAAGGGAACGGTACTCTTCCACTCGACACTGAGAGCTGTATATCAAATACGAGTTGCATTCTAACCGACGAAGGAGGGAGAGGAGGTGGAGGGGATTCCCGAGCGCTCGCACCGTGCATACAATCGAAAATTCAGTAACCAAAAGCTAGCCGCTTCGGAACGCTCGCACAAGTATTAATTACCTTGTCGCAAGCGCCCGTGAGGGCAGAGCCTAGGTCGGGCTTCGTCCGACTCTACCCGCCCCCACCATTAAAAGGACCATAAAAACATTTAACCTGAATACAAGGGTGGGTACCCAGAAAGTAATGGTTTCAATTATTCCAAATTTCGATCTGTCCACTCAACACAATTTTTACATTTCCAACTACAACAACAGGTACTATAGAGAGTTCACAGAAGCCTCAAGCACCGTATACCTCAAATCATGATTAGTCCACACTTTTTGAGCCAGAACTCGTCCTCATAATGAGTTCTGAGAGACGGGCACCCGAAGTAGTATGCCACTGTACAAGGGCGAAATAGTCATGCTATAATCTTCCAATGAAAGTTTTTTACTTAACTTTTTAGAGCCTATGGCTTCAGAAATAGGGGAAGTTGGGGGTTTCCAAACTATTCAAAAACGTCTTCAGCAGCTATCAACAAGCTCTTCGGCCGAATGTGACTCCGGTATGGGAGCTATCGACGTGACCGGCATGTCCACTTCGATCTGAAAGAAGACTT